GGGTGGGTATTCAATGGCAAGGCAGCCCCCTTGTCCACCCTTCCAGGCCCTTATGTTTGCTTTTGGAGACCCATGGGTAGGGTGCAAAGCATGCTCCTGTCACCCTCTGGGCCTTGGCTGGACAGGCTGGAGCATGTCCCTGTGCCCTTGAGCCACGTATGCCTGGGCCCCCACTCACTCTGCTGCAGCCACTCCCAATGGCGGTCCCACTTTTCCGACACTTCCTCCTTCCTGGTTCCCAGCTTGTCCAGCTGTGCCTGGATCTGGGAGTGGCAGGTGGGTGGGAGGGAAGTCAGGGTGTGGAATGGCTTCCACCCCAATGTGCCCAGGTGGCAGAGGGGGACCCCCTCCCTGCTCCCCACCTCATCAGCCATGGCACTTTTGTTGAGCAGCAGAGATCGCCCCAGCTCCTGGCAGGCAGTCAGCTCAGGCACCCGCGCCTCCAGCTCAGTCTTCAGGCCCTGGTGGTAGTTCATGAGCACCTCCACTGATGACACGTCCCTGCAGTGGGTGGCAGGCAGGGATCTGAGCCACGGGCAGCCTCCTCAGCCTGCCCCATACATGTGGCTCCTGGTGACCCCAAATCCTTGAGGCTGACATCCCACACCACCTCGAGACACCTTTCTTTTCTTTTCTTTGTTTTTCTGAGATGGAGTCTCACTCTATGGCCCAGGCTGGAGTGCAGTGGAGCGATCTCAGCTCACTGTAAACTCCACCTCCCAAGTTCAGGTGATTCTCCTGCCTTAGCCTCCTGAGTAGCTGGGATTACAGGCGCCCACCATCATGCTCAGCTAATTTTTGTATTTTTAGTACAGATGGGGTTTCACCATGTTGGCCAGGCTGGTCTTGAACTTCTGACCTCAGGTGATCTACCCGTCTCAGCCTCCCAAAGTGCTGGGATTACAGGCGTGAGCCACTGCACCAGGCTGAGACACCGACTTTCGATGACCAAGTTCTGAGGGCCTGTGGTTCACTAATTCAATGATTCAAACTTTCTAAGTTCCTAAAATTTCACACTTTGGTGATTCTAACCTTCTAGGATTCCAAGATCCAAACTTCCTTTTTTTTTTTTTTTTTATAGGGTCTTGCTCTGTTGCCCAGGCTGGAGTGCAGTGGCAAGATCACAGCTTACTGCAGCCTCAACCTCCTGGGCTCATGCAATCCTCCTGCCTCAGCCTCCTGAGTAACTGGGACCGTAGGTGCACACCATCACACCCAGCTAATTTTTTTATTTTCTGTAGAGACAGGGTCTTGCTATGTTGCCCAGGCTGGTCTCAAACCCCTGGGCTCTAGCAATCCACCTGCCCCAGCCTCCCAAAGTTTGAGGCTATGGGCATAAGCCACCACACCCAGCCAAGATCCAAATTTTCTAACTTTTCCTAGCTATGCTTCTGAAGGTTCCACTAGCTAATGATTTTAACCTTGCAAGTCTGTGCTCTCCAAGGCAGTAGCCACTAGACATGTGAGCACTTGAAATGTGGCCAGTCTGAATTTTGATATGAAGTGTAAAATGCACACCAGATTTTGTGGAGTTAGCATAGTAAAGAACGTAAAATGTCTCATTAATAGTTTTTTGTTGTTGTGCAGTGGCACGATCCCTGCTCACTGCAACCTCCCCCTTCTGGGTTCAAGTGATTCCCCTGCCTCAGCCTCCTGAGTAGCTGGGATTACAGGCGCCCGCCACCTTGCCTGGCTAATCTTTTTGTATTTTTAGTAGAAACTGGGTTTCAACATGTTTGTCGGGCTGGTCTCGAACTCCTGACCTCAGGCGATCCGCCCACCTTGGCCTCCCAAAGTGCTGGGATTACAGCCGCACCTTTTTTTTTTTTTTTTTTTTTGAGACGGAGATTTGCTCTTCTTGCCCAGGCTGGAGTGCAATGGCATGATCTTGGCTCACTGCAGCCTCCACCTCCCAGATTCAAGCAATTCTCCTGCCTCAGCCTCTCAAGTAGCTGGGATTACAGGCACCCACCACCAAGCCTGGCTAATTTTTTGTTCTGTATTTTTAGTAGAGATGGGTTTTTGCCACATTGGCCAGGCTGGTCTTGAACTTCTGGCCTGAGGTGATCCGCCTGCCTTAGGCTCCCAATCTCTGCACAGATTACAGGCATGAGCCACTGCGCCTGGTCTCATTAATAGTTTTGTTTGTTTTTGTTGTTGTTGTTTTTGAGACGGAGTCTCATTCTGTCACCCAGGCTGGACTGCAGTGGTACAATCTCCACTCCACTGAGACTGGGAGGCTGAGGCGGGCAGATCACCTGAGGCCAGAAGTTTGAGACCACCTGGCCTCATTAATAGTTTTAATATTGACTACCTGTTGAAGTGATAATACTTTGGGTATGTCAGGTTAAATAAAAATGTATTACTAAAATTAATTTTCATTTGCCTTGCTTTGTTAATATGGCCACAGAAGATTTTAAAGTATATATGTGGCTCACATTTGTGGCTCATGTTATATAACTGTTGGACAGCACCATTCTAAGCCATCTTATGTCCAAAACAAATTCCAAGTTTCTGAAGATTCCATCAGTTGGCAATCAAGGCTTCATGCTATGGTTTGAATCTACCACTTGGGCTCAAGAGATCCTCCTGGCTTAGCCTCCAGAGTAGCTGGGACTACAGGCATGCACCACAATGCCCAACTAATTAAAAAAAAAATTTTTTTTTTTAAGAATCACCATGATTGACTAATTTTTTTCTTTTTTGTAGAGATGGGGTCTCACTATGTTGCGTAGGGTGGTCTCAAACTCCTGGGCTCAAGTGATCCTCTTGCCTTGGCCTCCCAGTGTTGGGATTATAGGCGTGAGCCACCTCTTCTGGCTACATTGGCCAAATGTTGATGGTTGTTCAAGCCACGTGTTCACGATACACATGTGGGTTACCTTTACTTCCCTGTATATTTAATTTTTTTTTTTTTTTTTTTTT